CTGCCACCGGCGAAAAAGCCGAGATAGGCAATGGCAGTTACTGCTTCCAGCGAGAGAAGGTTCAAGGTGACACACGCGTAGTCTAGCCAGGATGTTGGTGGACATGCTCAGTCTGAAAACCGTCCCACTCGAGAGCTCCGAAGGCGTCAGACGGGCCAACAGAGCCTGAATACGGCGCAAGAGAGCCCCCAGAGGCCCGAGGAGTCCACAAAGAAACCCCTAAGAGGCCCCCACGAGGCCCCCAGGCGGTCTCCAGGAGGCCCCTCAAGGGCCTCAAGAGACTCATCCGCCTCCTCCTCGTACATTTCCTCTTATTCCTCCTCCTCCTCCTCCTCCTCCTCCTCCGACTCCTCCTCCTCCTACTTCTCCTCCTCCTCCACCATCTACATCTCCTCCTCCTCCTCCTTCTCGTCCTTCTACTCCTCCTCCTCCTCGCCCTCCTCCTCCTCCTCCACCTACTCCTTTTCCTCCTCCTCCCCCTCCTCCTCCTTCTCCTCCTCGGCCTCCTCTTCTTCCTCCTCCTCCTCCTCCTACTACTCCTACTCCTCAAACCTCAACCTCCTCCTCCTCTTCCTCCTCCTCCTCCTGCTCCTCGTCCTCCTCCTCCCTTCTCCTCCTCCTCGTCCCACCCTCCTTCTCCTCCTCCTCCTCCTCTTCCTCCTCTTCTCCTCCTCTCTATATACTCCTCATCTCCTCATCCATCTCCTCCTCATCATCCCTCCTCCGCCTCCTCCTCCTCCTCCTCCTCCTCCTCCTCCTCCTCCTCCTCCCCCTCATCCTGCTCCTCGTCCTCCTCCTCCTGCTGCTCCTCTTCCTCCCCCTGTTGCTCCTCCTCCTCCTCATCCTCCTCCTTTTCCTCCCCATCGTCCTCCAACTCCTCCTGCTCCTGCTCCTGCTCCTGATCCTGCTCCTGATCCTGCTCTGGCTATTGTTGCTCTTCCCCATCTTCCTCATAGTCTAATTCGTAGTGTGATCATGTGTATTCTTCCTACTGTTATTAATACAATGAGAAGTCGTATACGTCGTCGTAGTGTTGTTGTTGTTGTCAGTAATAAGGCTTTTCGTGATAGTAGTAGTATTCGTGGTATTGCGCGTATCATAATTCACCATATTGTTAACAGTCGTAGTGGTAGTGTTCGCAGTGGTGTTGATTGTAACCTGCTACGCATTACCACTTGTAATATTAGGAGTGATATCATTATTCGTAGCAGCAGTCGTTGTTCGATTGCTCATGCTAGTATCCTTTGCAGTTCGCGTAATACTAGTGTTACTGGTATTCGTAATAGCCTTCTTCTTCGCCGTATTAGTGTTCGTCTTATTTGTCTTGCTAGCAACAGTAATAGTATTCGTCGTGTCATGGCATAATTCGTATCACTGCTAGTCGTAGAACTCAGATTCGTCTACTTCTCACTTGTAACACTAATATGAGCATTTGTCTTCATATATAAGTATGCGGTGTATGCATCGTCTGCTTCCTCGTATTCATACGTTTCCTCCTGCTCCTCCTACTCATCATCATGCTGCTCATCCTCATTCCCCTGTTGCTGCTCCGCCCCTTCCTCATCCTCCTCCTATCCTCCTCTCCTCCTCTCATCCTCCTCCGCCGCCTCCTCATCCTCCTCCTCCGCCTCCTCCTCCTCCGCATCCTCCTCCTCCCTCCCTCCCTCCCGCCCACCCACTTCCTCATCTTCCTCCTCCTCATCATGATCCTCCTCCTCCTCCTCGTCCTCCTCCTCCTCCTCGTCTCCCCCTTCCTCATCCTCCGCATCAGTTTCCAGTTCCTCCTCCTCCTCCTCCTCCTTGTCCGCCTCCTCATTCTCCTCCTCATCATCCACCTCCTCCTCCTCCTCCTCCTCCTCCAGCTCCTCCTCCTACTCCTCCTCCTCCTCCCCCGCCTCCTCCTCATGATCAGTTTGCTTTTCATCGTCCTCCAACTCCTCCTGCTCCTCCTGTTCCTGCGCCTGCTCCTGCTACTGCTCCTGCTCGTCCTCGGTGTCCTCAGTGTCCTCAATGTCCTCCTCCTCCGCCTCGTCTCTCCCTCCCTCCCTCCACCCCTCCTCCCAATTCATCTTCCTGCGTCGCCTCCTGCTCCTCCACCTCCTTCTGGTATTCGTCCTTGTCCTCCGCCTCCTCCGCCGCCTCGTTCGCCTCCTCCTCCTCCTCCTCCTCCTCCTCCTCCTCCTCTCCTCCTCCTCCCCCTCCGCGTCCACCTCCTCTTCCTCCTCCTCCTCCTCGTCCTCCGCCTCCTCCTCCTCCTCTTCCTCCTCCTCCTTCTCATCATCATCATCCTCATCCTCCTCTTGCTCCTCCTCCTCCTCATCATCCTCCTCCTGCTCCTCCTCCTCCTCATGTTCCCTCCTCCTCGTCCTCCGCCTCCTCCCCTCCTCATCCTCCTCCGCCTCCTCCAACTCTCCTCCTCCTCCTCCTCCTCCTCCTCCTCCTCCTCCTCCTCCTCCTCCTCCTCCTCCTCCTCCTCTCCCTCCTCCGCGTACTCCTCCTC